TTTAACTAGCCAAACAGACCCTAACACAAATAACTAAATTATTTTAACATGTATGTTTATGCAACTATGTATTTGTATATATCTATATATTTATGTATTTTTTTCGCTGCAAGTATTTATGTATTCATCTATCTATACATTTATGCATGTACATTGTATGCCAAAAATTTTAAGTTTAAATGCATTTTTTTTCTAAAACATGATAACTAATGAAATAGAGAAGTGGGGGTTCAACAACTTTTATTGGGTTAGGGTTGACCTTAACCCAACCTAACCGAGCCCTACTTGCACCCCTATTTGCAAAACCCTTTAACTTCCAACAAATCACTTTATCTTACCGGTGCAATAGGTGCTCTTCAATGTATATGCCCAGACTAAGCCTTCTCTGCCATTCTATCACCAAACGCAGCTACTCCTAGGTTCCCATAGATGTGCTCAGCCACTCATTCAAATCCTATTCTTTATGATTTTATCACTCATCAGTATTTACATCTCCATTACACCAATTCTTTTCCTTTTGCTAACTGTATTATTTTTATACATGCTACTTTTTGATTGCCCAAAATCCTTCTCTATACAACATTGCAGATCTTGAAGCTGTCTTGTAAGATTTTCCTTTTAGCTTGATTCGTATTCTCTGATCACAAAACGCTCTCAACACACCTCACCATTTTGTCCACAACACACTAATTCTATGGGCAATATCTACCTCAATTTCTGTCACTATGGACTTTTGAACTGAGAATGATGAAAGAAGTCACATTTTGCCTAATACTCAACATTAGGGCAGTTGGAGTTTTCTTTTGAATTGAATACAACAATCAGTTCTGTTAATTATAAAAAAAAGCACATTGAAGTGTCACTTCATCTCCAAAATTATACGTTGATTCTCATCCCTGATGTTTCTAATTTTCTTTGCATGTTAGTTTGGCTTAGCCCTAATGGATAACAAGGGTGATTGAATGACAACACAGCACAGTTAGGTAACTACCTCCTGAATGTGGAGGCCCAGACAAGTTTGATATTAAAGTATATGCAGAATCTGAAAAGGAAAAAAGAGAGAATTTCCAGTTACTAATGTAAATTCTAACCATTTGTTTGAATTTGAACCTTCCATGCCTCCACCTTTTGAATTAGCTGAAGTTTGTTGCTTTCTCTTCTTTATGGGTGAATTGGGATTTAGGTTTTAGAAGGGATCTAAGGGATAATGAGTGTGAGGCACTTATTCAATTGCTGAACAAACTTCGGCTAGCTTTTCTGGATCAATCAATGGAGGACACTGGAGTGTGGCCTAGTACACCTAATGGGGTTTTTATTTGTGCTTACTTAGTTCTCGCTTGCAGCCCAACAATATGAGTGAGAATTTCCCTATGAAAGAGATTTGGAGCAAGCCTATCCCACCTAAAATTAAGGTTCTATGTTGGGAAGTCTATCTTGGAAAGGTAAACACTAGTGATATGCTTCAAAATAGAAGGCCAAACAAATGCTTATCGCCTCACTTGTGCTTCCTTTTCCTTGCAAACGGTGAATCCATATCTCATTTATTGCTTTCTTGCCCTTTTGGGCTTTGTGTTTGGGACCTCTGTTGTTCCCTTTTTGGTTGCAGGTGGTCTCCTTCGCAGAATGTAGCAAGCCTTTTCAGCCTAAGTTTCGTAAGGCAACCAAGGAAGAGAGGAAGAATTATGTGGAAAGCAATAAGGGCTGCAATAGATGAACTATTTGGGAGGAAAGGAATGGGAGGATATTCAATGAGAAGAGTAGATCGAAAGAGGAATTGTTTGAAACTATAAAAATCAGAACTGCACATTGGATAAAGACACTTGATTTGTTCAAAGAATTCTCAGTAAATGATATTCCAAGGGCATGGACTGAAGTGGCATCTTCTTCCAAAGAAAAGGCATTTATGGAGTGGTTACCCACATCGGCTAATAAAATAAAGCTAAATTTTGATGGGAGTTCCATGGGAAGCATGAGAATGGCTGGTATTGGAGGAGTATTTAGGGATTGCACAGGAAAAGTGTTGGGCATTTTATTAGGACCTTTGGGTTGGGAGATTCACTAAAGGCTGAACTAATGGCACTACTACAAGGGTTAAGAATTGTTAAACAATCAAGATTTCAGCTTTTGAAAGTAGAGGGAGATTCAAAGCAGATAATTTCTTGGGCCAAAAGCAAGCAGCTTGTTCCATGGATCTATAGGCAAGATTTAAGGGAAATAGAGAGCATCACACAGGAGCTCAACATAACTTTCAAGTGAATTAGAAAGATAGCAAATGGAATGGCCGACACTCTTGCAAAGCAAAGTGTATATAGGCAGCAGCTGTTTTGGACACCATTGTAAATCTTGTATCTGTGCTGGGAATGGAATGAATCTAATGGATGAATGCACCCTGTTAGTGTAATATTCAGATTATCATTTTAATTTAATCCAATGTGGAGCAACAATGCCATTGCCCATCTAACTTACATGATTACCACTTTGAGCTAGCTTGGTGTTCATTTCAAGCATGAAGTTAAATATTAGTTTTTTTTTGTGTAATAGATTATTTGGCTGACTATTACAACCATTTAGGTTTTCCATGTTTAAATTTTGCTTTAACTCATTCTATCCTAAAGCTTCAAATTTTAAAGTTTACAGGGCAGTATTCGTTTGTGTATAACCTTAGTTTCATAGCTTTGTTTAGTGATTTGGAACATGATAATAATTTTAAAATGTGTGCCTATGCTACTTTTATCATTTCATAAAATATTGTAGAGAACAATGATGTGGGCCCCACAGCTGTGGTCCCCACTGTGTTCGTAGGACAGTAAGTGCAATTATTTGTTTCAGTCATGCTAGTGTTAGTTGGTGGTCAGCTTGTTATTTCAGTTTGTGATTTGCTTTATTTGTCATGTACGTATTAAGGGCAGATCTGTCCTTTCCTCTATGTACTGAACATAACCTATAAATACTAAGAGAGTGGTGGCGGGAGATCAATTTGAGAATTTCTCCCTCCTTTCAAACCTTTGTGTTCTGTTCTTCTCCTCTTTTTTCTTCTTTTCCTTACTTTTCTTCTACCTTTTCTAATCTCAAATCCATTAGGATTCAAGGTGGATTGTAGTCTTGATCGCCTACCTTTTCTAATAACGCAAAGGTCGTAGGTTCGGGACATTGGTGACAGCAGGCGCGTTGTCAGCAGAATAGGGTACAACTTTATGAGAGCCAAAGCATCCTCAAGGACAGAAAGGTCGGTCTTGCCGCCACAAGCCTCGTACATCAGGCGCACGGTCTGCAGCAGTGTCTTGTAGCTGTTGGCAACCCTCACCTCTAACTCGACCGCAGGCAGTGTGACGCAGCAGGACCAGCCCCCACCTTAACCAACATTTTTGGCGTATTCTCACTATAAGCTAGCTCGTGCTTGATGGAGATGTTCACGGGGTGGCAGCTCTTATGCCATAAGGCATCCCTTATCAGGTATTGATCCTCCTGGAACCATGAAGCAACATTCTCAGACTTCTAGTATGTCCGCTCCAAGACATCGAAGACACGCCTTGACTGGGTCTTGGCGTCGCTCAGGTAGTGGTGTCCAGTCATGATTAGCTTGTACCCCTGGATGGGCAGCACACCGATTGCGGACATGTGTGCGACTACCACCACCGCTTTCTCTTGGTCAGTCAGTACCAGCGGTGCGGTTAGGACGTCCTTGTCTGCGCCACGTGTTGCGCGGCCCACTGACAGGGAGAGGCCTGCTCCTTCGGTGTACCTTGCCTGAACAGTTAACTCGGCAGACTCCCTAGGAATCAGGTCGTTGGCGGTTATGCGATAGAGCTCTGTAGTAACTGCACGCACCACGCCCAGGATGATGGCAACCTTGCGCATCTGGGCATCAGTCATGCCCTGCAGCCTGTGGGCAGCCAAACCCGCATGTGCGACCCTGAGAAAGGCATGAGTTTGGCTAATTGCGTCGTTGAGGTTCAGGTTTGCGATGGGCCTCCAGTGGTACGCCGCGGGGATTGTCGRCTTGATCAAGAGAGAGCGTGCTTCACTTAGGTCCCTGTTTCTCATGTTGAACGTCACGAGCTGTGTGGTCGGGCCAACGTCATCGTTGATGATGAGCGGCTCCCATTCCTCGATTGGCACTTCGGTAGCGGCCATGACTATCGTTAACAAACTAAGCTAAAAACTTTAGATCTTGAACTATAATAAACCAAATAGTGTCCTGACGAAATAGTCAGAAACGCCATTTGATTATTTTTATCTGTATTGGAACCTTGACATACGCAGGCACACTGGCAGGTCGCGGGACATGACTGATGCCCAGATGCACAAGGTTGCCATCATCCTGGGTAGACCTGTTCATGGGCCGGGCCGGGCTCGGACCGGGCTTTTACTCTTCAATAACAGAAATATGTTAGGCCCGAGCCCGAGCCCGACCCTAATAAAAGCCCAAAGCCCGACCTAATAAAAAAATTAGAAATTTTCCCTATTCAATAATCAATATAAATCAGAATTTATTTACATTAAAAAAATATATAAATTCAAAATTTATTTATATTAAAAAAATATATATAAAGAAGGGAAAGAKGATGTGGAGAAGAAGAATTTGGTTGCATAAAAAAGGGGAAGAGGTGAAAACAAGAGGGGTATTCAACTAGGGTTTTTAGGTTTATTTATAGGTCGGGCCGGGCCGGGCTCAGGGCTATTTTGGCAAATCCCGAGCCCGGCTCGAATTTATTGCGGGTCGGGCTTTCTGGCCCGAAGTTAAGCCCGTGGGCCTATGTACCTGTTCAAGCCAGTCCAGGGACTGGCCCAAGCCGGGCCGACCCGTCGGGCCACCCGGCCCATGAACAGGTCTAATCCTGGCGTGGTGTGTGCAGTTACTACAGAGCTCTATCACATAACCGCCAACAACCTGATTCCCGGAGAATCTATCGAGTCAACCGGTCAGGCAAGGTACACCGAAGGAGCAGACCTCTCCCTGTCAGTGGGCCGCGCAGCACGTGGCACATACAAGGACGTCCTAACCGCACCGCTGGTACTGACTAACCAAGAGAAAGCGGTGGTGGCAGCCGCACACAGGTCCGCAATCGGTATGTTGCCCGTCCAGGGGTACTCGCTAATAATGACCGGACACCACTACCTGAGCGACGCCAAGACCCAGTCAAGGCGTGCCTTCGATGTCATGGAGCGGACATACTAGAAGTCTGAAAGTGTTGCTTCATGGTTCCAGGAGGATCAAGACCTGATAAGGGATGCCTTATGGCATAAGAGCTGCCACCCCGTGAACATCTCCATCAAGCACGAGCTAGCATACTGTGAGAATACACCAAAAATGTTGGTTAAGGCGGGGGCTGGTCCTGTTGCGTCACGACTGCCTACGGTCAAGTCAGAGGTGAGGGCGGCCAACAGCTACAAGACACTGATGCAGACCGTGCGCCCTATGTATGAGGCTTGTGGCGACAAGACCAACCTTTCTGTCCTTGAGGATGCTCTAGCTCTCATCAAGTTGTACCCTATTCTACTGACAACGCTAACTGCATAACTGATATTTGTCCCTCCTTTCAAACCTGTTTTCTCCTGTTCTTCTCCTCTCTTTTCTTCTTTTCCTTACTTTTCTTCTACCTTTTCTAATCTATAATCCATTAGGATTCAAGGCTAATAACGCAAGACCGACCTTTCTGTCCTTGAGGATGCTCTGGCTCTCATCAAGTTGTACCCTATTTTACTGACAACGCTAACTGCATAACTGATATCTGTCCCTCCTTTCAAACCTTTGTGTTCTCCTGTTCTTCTCCTCTCTTTTCTTCTTTTCCTTACTTTTCTTCTACCTTTTCTAATCTGTAATCCATTAGGATTCAAGGCAGATACCAAGTAGGCGATCAAGACTACAATCAGCCTTGAATCCTAATGAATTAGAGATTAGAAAAGGTAGAAGAAAAGTAAGGAAAAGAAGAAAAGAGAGGAGAAGAACAGGAGAACACAAAGGTTTGAAAGGAGGGACAGATATCAGTTATGCAGTTAGCGTTGTCAGCAAAATAGGGGTACAACTTGATGAGAGCCAGAGCATCCTAAATGACAGAAAAGTCGGTCTTGCCGCCACAAGCCTCATAAATAGGGTGTACGGTCTGCATCAATGTCTTGTAGCTGTTGGCCGCCCTCACCTCTGACTCGACCGTAGGCAGTCGTGACGCAGCAGGACCAGCCCCCGCCTTAACCAACATTTTTTGTGTATTCTCACAGTATGCTAGCTCGTGCTTGATGGAGATGTTCACGGGGTGGCAGCTCTTATGCCATAAGGCATCCCTTATCAAGTCTTGATCCTCCTGGAACCATGAAGCAACACTTTCAGACTTCTAGTATGTCCGCTCCATGACATCGAAGGCACGCCTTGACTGGGTCTTGGCGTCGCTCAGGTAGTGGTGTTCGGTCATTATTAGCGAGTACCCCTAGACGGGCAACACACCGATTGCGGACATGTGTGTGGCTGCACCACCACTTTCTCTTGGTCAATCAGTACCAGCGGTGCGGTCAAGACGTCCTTGTATGCGCCACGTGCTGCGCGGCCCACTAACAGGGAGAGGCCTTCTCCTTCGGTGTACCTTGCCTAACCGGTTGACTCGACAGACTCCCCAGGAATCAGGTCGTTGGCGGTTATGCGATAGAGCTCTGTAGTAACTGCACGTACCACGCCCAAGATGATGGCAACCTTGCGCATCTGGGCATCAATCATGTCCCGCGACCTGCCAGTGTGCCTGCGTATGTCAAGGTTCCAATACAGATAAAAATAACCAAATGGCGTTTCTGACTATTTCGTCAGGACACTGTTTGGTTTATTATAGTTCAAGATCTAAAGTTTTTAGCCTAGTTTGTTAACGATAGTCATGGCCGCTACCRAAGTGCCAATCGAGGAATGGAAGCCGCTCATCATCAACGATGACGTTGGCCTGACCACATAGCTCGTGACGTTCAACATGAGAAACGGGGACCTAAGTGAAGCACGCTCTATGTTGATCAAGTCGACAATCCCCACAGCGTACCACTGGAGACCCATCGCAAACGTGAACCCCAACGACACAATTAGCCGAACTCCTACCTTTATCAGGGTCGCACATGCGGGTTTGGCTGCCCACAGGCCGCAGGGCATGACTGATGCCCAAATGCGCAAGGTTGCCATCATCCTGGGCGTGGTGTGTGCACTTACTACAGAGCTCTATCGCATAACTGCCAACGACCTGATTTTCGGGGAGTCGGCCGAGTCAACCGTTCAGGCAAGGTACACCGAAGGAGCAGGCCTCTCCCTGTCAGTGGGCGGCACAACACGTGGCGTATACAAGGACGTCCTGACCGCACCGCTGCTACTGACTGACCAAGAGAAAGCAGTGGTGGCAACCGCACACATGTCCGCAATCGGTGTGTTGCCCGTCCAGGGGTACCCGCTAATAATGACCGAACACCACTACCTGAGCGACGCCAAGACCCAATCAAGGCGTGCCTTCGATGTCATGGAGCGGACATACTAGAAGTCTAAGAGTGTTGCTTCATGGTTCCAGGAGGATCAAGACCTGATAAGGGATGCCTTATGGCATAAGAGCTGCCACCCCGTGAACATCTCCATCAAGCACGAGCTAGCATACTGTGAGAATACACCAAAAATGTTGGTTAAGGCGGGGGCTGGTCCTGTTGCGTCACGACTGCCTACGGTCAAGTCAGAGGTGAGGGCGGCCAACAGCTACAAGACACTGATGCAGACCGTGCGCCCTATGTATGAGGCTTGTGGCGACAAGACCAACCTTTCTGTCCTTGAGGATGCTCTAGCTCTCATCAAGTTGTACCCTATTCTACTGACAACGCTAACTGCATAACTGATATTTGTCCCTCCTTTCAAACCTGTTTTCTCCTGTTCTTCTCCTCTCTTTTCTTCTTTTCCTTACTTTTCTTCTACCTTTTCTAATCTATAATCCATTAGGATTCAAGGCTAATAACGCAAGACCGACCTTTCTGTCCTTGAGGATGCTCTGGCTCTCATCAAGTTGTACCCTATTTTACTGACAACGCTAACTGCATAACTGATATCTGTCCCTCCTTTCAAACCTTTGTGTTCTCCTGTTCTTCTCCTCTCTTTTCTTCTTTTCCTTACTTTTCTTCTACCTTTTCTAATCTGTAATCCATTAGGATTCAAGGCAGATACCAAGTAGGCGATCAAGACTACAATCAGCCTTGAATCCTAATGAATTAGAGATTAGAAAA